AACCAGGTGCCTTAATGACAGTGCATGTATTTTAAACCTCCTGTTTTCTAATGTTAATTGGGCCTTCTAAGATAAGTGTACGGCTAGACTGGCAGTCTAGCCGTACTTAAGTACGGGTAGACTTCTTGTCTAGCCGTACTTAAGTACAGGTAGACAGCCAGGCTAGCCGTACTTAAGGACGGCTAGACTGTCAGGTTAGCCGTACTTAATATTGATGGCTGAATTGTAAATGAAATTTTTAGTTTGCTATGCCTAAATTATTTGTATTTCAGACAAAACCAAAAGGTGCCTTACTCGCTTGCATGTATTTGAACCTGAATAATTGCTAGATATAGATCTAATGAGACCTGTGTACTTAACAGGCTTGCATCGATAGGGCCAAACCCAGATCTAAGTACGGCTAGACTGGCAGTCTAGCCGTACTTAAGTACGGCTAGCCACTTCGTTCTAAATAAATCTAGACGCTAATCCTTTGTCTTCCCTACCGAGGCCGAGGAAAACTTACTTGAGGAGCAAAAACCAGTCCTTTTACTTTTGCTCCAGATGTTTCCTTCCACTCTAAGCTTTACTTTCTGACTTTCGGTTTCTACACAGGACTCGAGAGCCTACAGTACAGTCAGGCTGATTTCATCCTTCACCAGGACAGGATAATACACTGACTCACTGACTACACAACATAAAAAATAAACTTTTAACTCTACACGGACACAGGAATCATTTTGACAAACTTCCTTCTGTGAACAGGATGTAAATTAAAGACCGAGCAGAAAACCCTGAGACTCGGAGCCAACACTCGATCTGAAATTTACCAACGCATTCATCACAAAAAATCATTTGACTGGAACAAACTTCCTTGTCGAGCTGACCCAGGCCCAGGCTAGGCCTTATCCCGTTATAACTTGACTATATTAGAGATTCAAAACTTACCTCAACAGAACCGACACTTCCTAACATCTGGTTCGATTCATCCTATGTCAGAGGGCGCCTACGGATGACGGGTAGCATTTAATTATATTATGTTGATTGATATCGATTTGGGCAAAAACAATTTGTCCATCTCCAAGAACCAAGCAAACCTGACCTCTCGCCTCTCACCTCTGACCTAATGACCCATTATCTTACGAATAAAAATGTTGTAATATTCATTCGTGGTATAATATTTTACGATTCAATTATTGAGAATGAGAAAACGATAGAAGAAGGGTAGGGGGGGGGGGGTCTAGATCTATTCTTGTTCTTTCTCTAGGATTTATAATTACTCTTTACTTTTTTTCTTTTTTTTTTGCCTTTTTTGCAAGCTGGAAGCTTTGTCGTCCATGTTTGGAACCCTAACTCTATGCCTGGGGAACACACCGGCATTCAGTTCAGTTCCAGCCATGCTTGTCCAGTTGTCCAGATTTGGCAGTTTCCCCCTCCCCTCCCAATTTCCTCCACCTTCTTTTCCTAGAATTATCTTTTCTTTGCGGTTTCAAATAAAATATTTGTACTTATTGTGTTACCAGAGAATTTTTAAGTACTTTCTGGGAATAGTTGCAGCATTCCCAATTTATTTGGTAAGGTCCTTAATTATAAATTTTATGGGCTTTATAATATTATGTAGGCCCATTTGTCTTAATTCTTAATGTGATAAAATATTCTTTCAAATGATTTATTTTGGTACTGCTGCAAAACATGCTATAAGTTTATTCGTTTTTAACAATACCTTCTGTAGAAGCATAATTATTATGACGCACGTTCTATATATGGGTCTATTTTAACTTATTTAAATCCATATTAAAGTATGTGTTATATTATGTAATTTAGAAAACAAGTAATTTGATCCAAGTTCTGAAAAACCGATCAAGCATCTCAGTGAGTAGGCTACTTAAAATAAGAGTTATTTTATAAACGGCTATATAATACGGCTATATTATTATGCATGCTTAACAAAAGACCAAACACATAATATTACTTGTAGGCCCAATTGAAACAAAAAATCGAAACGTCTGCATAAATTTAAAATAATAATTATATGGCTTCTTATGAGGAACCTAGACTGTTGAGTTAATTTCAAGGACAGAAAATAAAAGCAATCACTGAGGAACATAATTAGATCTAGCCTATACATACCTACTGAAAGAAGCCTGTGAGCCGCTCACTATAATAGGATAAAACCAAAGGAAAAGAGTCGTTGCACTTCAAATGGGACATGCATGTAAATAGAATGGACATATGTAGCCTTTAAGCCTGATCACTGCTCCTATATTATGATACAAATGCCGTAACAACTCTGATAGCCAAGCTGACTTTCTTAAAATTAAATGTGTCTCTCTTTCTCTCTGTCTTTCTCTTTATCTGGCCCCTGCTCAGTACCCCCC